CTTCTCTCTCTCTCTCTCTCTTCTCTCTCTCTCTCTCTCTCTCTCTCTCTCTCTTTCTCTCTTTGTCCTGTTCGAAACATTGGATTCCCTAATCTTGTTCAACTCCCCGGTCCATTCGAGTCCATCGCCGCGACGCATGTGTACACGACAATGAACGCAGCGATATATTGACCTGTGTCGAAAGCTTGTTTGAAGCTTGCAATCAAATTCTATAAAGAAGAAACATATTTTTAGTCTCATATCTCATGAATGATCGAACCGATCGGTTGTTAAGGTATTTTAGTACAAACAAATGTTTAGTATCTTTGATAGAAATTAGTGCATGACGAAGCGTATAACATGCGGAATTTTGCTCTTCTCAGAAAGCGAGGTAATTTTTCGAGAAGTCGGAAGATAACTAAAAGACTCAAATGCATACTTGATACGTCCATTTTCATTTGTTTTAATTAAGAGAAAATTTTAAACGTAAAAACTAAGAAGTAAATCGTCGTCCGCAAACATTGCCCGCTGAGTCTCGAAGAGTAAACATTATTCGGTGCATTCGATGGCGTTCGGAAAGCCGGAAAGCCACCCTCTTTTATACGGGATCGCCGCGCCGCCGCCGTCGCCGCCGCTTCTTTGGCTTTTTTAGAAACCTTCGGTTGATTTGTTTTCTCCTTTTCTTTCTGTTCTTTTAGCCGTAGACGAAAATGATACGCATGCGAGTGCCACCCACACGTCTACTACTACCATCACCACCACCACTACCACCACCACCACCTCCAACACCATCACCACAAACCGTGCGAAAGCCAAACTGAAATTTCCCAAGAGCACGCTGAACCGACCGCAACCGTTGTACAGTCAGAAAATAGTGATAGGCTCGGAGGAGCTGGCGGGCCGCGACGTCGAGCACGTTGTGCGGCAGCGCATTAACGACCTGATTAACGAGCGGTGCCCGATGGTGGTGCGGTCGACTGCTTTGATAATCAAGAGCTCGAAGGCGCCGGCGAGCGCCAACGGACGAGTCCCCGTCAGAGGCGTGAACCCCGCGCGCGACGAGCACGACGGTAAAGGTACGCGGGTAGAGGTAAGCGAGCTCGACGCCGAGGTAGGCCGCGGATCGACGACGACGAAGACTGCCAACGGTTGCGCGAATCTGGCAAACGTGAGGTCGGGGCTGTCGAATGGATTCGATCGCTCGGGACGACGGGAGACAGCAGGTAAGCTCCGGAAGATCCCAGGACGATGACGAGAAACGTCACAGACGTCTCTTTCTCTCTCTCTCTC